AACGGTCTGGCGCAAAATCCACGCCATTAGAGGCTTAAAACGTCATAAAAAACCCATCTAACATTAATAATTCAACAAACCCCGCTGAAAAGGCAAATAACCTCGCCAACCACTTTTCGGCCGTAAGCAGTAACAACAACTTTAGCCAAAAATTTCAAGATAAACTTAAAACAGAAAACAAATCCACCAAAGAACCAAATAATGACAACCTAGAAATAAACCACCCTTACACAATGGAGGAGCTACTCTACGTCATCCAAAACAGGAAAAAGGGCACAGCCCCAGGATTGGACCTAACTTCCTACCAAATAATTAAAAAACTCCCCCCTAAACTACTCCAAGCACTACTTAAATTATACAATCTCATCTATCAAAACGGACAAGTACCTACTCCCTGGAAACAGGCCTTAGTCATACCAATCCCTAAACCTAATAAACCAGCTAATCAGGCTAACTCCTATAGACCAATTTCCTTAACTTCAAACTTATGTAAAGTAATGGAATCTATGGCTAAAAACAGACTACAACATTACCTAACTCAAAATAACATCATAAACCCAGATCAAAGTGGTTTCACTCCTGGCCGCTCAACCTTAGATAACCTCGCCCGTTTAGAGCAGGACATTAAAACAGGACAACTCAGCAAATAATATACTACAGGCATCTTCTTAGACTTCTCCAAAGCTTTCGACATGGTATGGCACGACGGGCTAATACAAAAACTACAAAAAATAGGACTCAAAGGTCAAATAATAAACTACATCCAAGACTTCCTAAACAATCGTAAAATAACCGTGGGTATAGACCAAACGCTATCGGACCAATGTCCCCTAGAAAATGGCACTCCCCAGGGCAGTATCCTCAGCCCCACACTCTTCAATATCATGATAAATGATCTATTCGAGGGCCTATCCCCTAAAATAAACACATCTAAATTCGCGGATGATGGAGCCCTCTGGATCCGCACAAAAAGCATTAAAATGGCCCAAAACCTACTTCAAAAATCTCTAAACAAAATACAGCAATGGGCTGACAAATGGGGCTTCTCCCTTAACTCGGAAAAAAACTACAGGAATAGTATTTAAACACAAAAACATGAAACCCGCCTCCCTAAAACTCCAGCTAAACAACAAACCAATCCAATTCCTAAAACAAACCAAATTCTTAGGACTAATTTTCGATGAACATCTCTCCTGGGACGCTCACATAAATAATCTAATAACTAAATGTAGCAAAGATCTAAATACGCTAAGATGCCTCACTGGCTCAAACTGGGGGGCCTCCAAAGACACCCTCCTCTCACTCTATATATCACTAATTAGATCTAAAATAGACTACGGAAGTGCCATATACGACACCCTAAACCAATTCCTAAGCAAAAAACTAGACTCAATCCAATATCAGGCTCTAAAACTAATAACACGCACTCAACATGGCACCTCCTACACTTCACTCCAGGCCTTAACAGGAGAAATGCCACTAAGTCTACGTAGGGAACAATTAACCCTAAATTTCTGGGCCGCGCCTCAATCCAACCCCCTAATTCAAAGCCTAATAAACAAAAATATAAGCCCAAAAAACCAAGCCCTAGCTCGAAAACAACCTCTACTTACTCCAATATCCCAAAGAATAACCAATTACTTAAATGAACACCAAATAAACAATCTTAAACAAAACTGTAAAAAATCAAATATCTTCACCCCAAAACTTAAAACACCCAAAATAGACATAACACTAGCTAGCACAATAAATAAACAAACCGACCCAAACATAGCCAAAACCACCACACTAGCATACATACATGAACATTGGCCAAATTGGTGTCACATTTACACAGACGGATCCTCAGGTCCGATCTCCAAACACACAGGTTTCGGAGTCCACATCACACAACCAACTAAAGCCACACAATCCTACCGACTCCCAAACAATCAATCAATATTCACGGCCGAACTAATGGGCATGGCCTCAGCCCTTCATAATCAACAATCTAAAAAAACCAAAAAATCCTAATACTTACCGACTCGCTCAGTGGACTACAAGCCCTCCAAAATAAAAACACCAAAAACCGCCCTGAACTAATAAATCAGATACTAAAAAGCTCAAACGAGTTAACCAAGGCAGGCAAACAAATAGAATTCATTTGGATCCCCGCCCACGTAGGAATATACGGCAATGAAAACGCCGATAAAGCAGCTAAACTATCCCTTAAAATCCCAGAAATAAGCTTAAACCTACCCATCTCCAAATCAGAAATTAAAAGTGTTAACAAACAAAAAAATCACCAAAAAATGGCATAACCCTATATCAAAACTCAAATAGCCAAATCAAAAAGGTTCTAAAAAAACCTCTAACCAAACCCAAAATTCTACATCCGTCCAAAAAAATCGACAGAGTAATTACTAAACTCCAAACAGGACATACCAACCTAAATAACCACCTCAAAATAATAAGAAAACACGCAACAGGAACCTGCCCACATTGCAAACAACAAGAAACCCCAGAACACGCACTCATACACTGCACCCACTACCTAACACACCGAACTACACTACAAACCACCCTAAATCTAAATAAGGCTCTTACTCTAGAAGCAATCCTAAACCCACAAAATAAAATAGAAAAAATCAAAGCCTTAGGCGTATACTTAATCAAAACAGGACTAATAAATCGCATTTAAAACCCCAATAAACTACCAAAACCAGACCACATAATCAAACTAACAAACTTCCATATACTCAGGTCCCTTCGTTCGTCCCCCAAACCCTCTTGGCATTTTTTCAAAATTTCAAAATTTCCAAAATTCTATATAAGCAACCACTAAAACACCCCTACTGGATTGCTAAACAACTTTTTCCCCTTTTCGGAAACTCATTAAATGGCTTGGCCGGGCCCGTGTGCGAAATACGCTGCAGTCGGAAAGCGCACGTAAAATTTCCAATATAAGTAAGTAAGTAAGCAGAAGACCCCATCGGCATCTATTCCAAATCTCAAAATTCCCAAATTCTATATAAGCAACACCTAAACCCCCCTCTTGGGTTGCACAGACCACTTTCGCCCCTTTCGGAAACACATTAAATGGCCTGGCCGGGCCCGTGTGCGAAATACGCATCAGTCGGAAAGCGCACGTTAAATCTCCAAAGTAAGTAAGTAAGTAAGCAGAAGACGGCATAACCATGGCGAACGTTCAAGTAGATGTACGATATATTCAGAATTCTAAAGGTGGACGGCATTTGGTATTTACTGGACACAAGTTCATGATAAAATCACGACGACAGACATCAATACACCGGCCTCTTAAGGATAAGGATGCCTCTTTCATTTCCGACAGTGCATCTGGAGAAAGGCGCAGCAATGCGGTCTCCAACAAGCCTTCCAGAACGACAACAACGTGAACATGCTCATAAGACGTGCTGCAGCATTACCCCTGGTGCAGATGTGTGACATCGACGACGTGTGGGTGAAGACCCTTGATGAATCAGATCTGGACAATGAAAAAATTGTGAACTTTGCAGACTATGTGACCGAGCAATGGGTGGACAAAAACAACCGTGCTATGTGGAATCACTTCCATACCACTGGTCCACGTACAACCAACCATCTTGAAGGTTGGCACTCCAACCTAAAGAGACTTGGACGCAGTCACCAAAACCTGTATAAATTCATTGAAATTATCCAATTTGAGCAGGAAAGTAATGAGATTGTAATCATGCAGCTGCAGTCTGGTAGTTTGATGCCGCCAAAAAAGAGGCGTTATCGGAATTTGGAACACGCTCTTCAAAGAGAGAAGCGACTTCTGACTACAAATCAGAAATCCAAATACCAGTACCATGACGCAGTGTCGCATCTTGTTGGTTTGTGAATTGTGAATGTATGTACAGAAATCATATTATATATCGAATAAATAAAGAAACTTTTTGTAATACAATGGGAAAAGCATTACTGGAGATACTATTGTATTGTATTTTTTGTGCATTTTTTTCTAATAAAAGTATAATTTAAAATATATATATATTGCCGGACAAGTAGGATATCACCAATAAAAGAAGAACTTGAAAAAGCTGTCAAAGCCTTTTTGCTCTGGGACACAATTATCAAATGGCGAGAATTACATAAGGGTTGTTGGCTTCTCCACTCCAGCAGTGTAACTGCATCTTAAATCTTCTCAACTGTATAAACACTGCCTCCTATCCTGTATATATACTTGGCAACATTACTATGCACATCACTTGCTTGATAACGGTGTCAGAACCTACACCGAAACGTCGCTCCTAATTGTAATAAAGAAATTGTTCTTCGATATATCGTATCCTTGCTTAGTACTCCAACTTCTAAATGCCTCTCAAAGAAGATTTAATTTGACTTCAATCGATGTCAGATCAGTGGTAATGTCTTAAGCGTCCTCGCGTTGTTAAGCGTCGACTGAGCGACTGCGTCCGCCGTATTGTGCAGTGACGTCATAAATGCTATTTTTATATCTGGAGGAGTTTTTCAAGGTAATGACTGAACTCATCTGTCCTTTACAGAGCATAGATTGCGCAGCGCAACAAAAACATGTCTATTCCAAGTTCTTCTAAAAATAGAAGCAGCCATCTCGCATATCCAGCGTCATACCATTACGCTTGGTGAGTTTGAGTGAGTGAGTGAGTATGGTTTTACGCCACTTTTAGTAATATTCCAGCAACACCTCGGCGGGGGACAACAGAAATGGGCTTGACACATTGTACCCAATGTCGGGAATAGAACCCGGTTGCTTTAACAACTAGGCTACCCGACCGCCCCTGGTGAGTTTAAATGCATACCACATGTTTCTAGATTACACATACCGAGTGATTCTTTGCATTCAGTCGTCGGAAAGTAACATATGATTTAGACAATAGATGCCGTTTAGCATTACAGTCACCTATCCATGCTCTGTGTGTCTCTACCAGACCGTGACATGCTTACCGAGAATGATAATCCCGTAAACAAGTCTGCGGTCAGTCTGACATGCCTCTGGCTCAGCTAAACGCGTTTGTATAGACATAAGTTGGGCATGTATCGACCTGGAACAACACATGAACAACAATAGAACAATGGTGACCAGTCACAAAGTGTCAAAATGTAGCCAATCAGAGATGGCCTTGCGTCTCCTGGAACGCTTGCAACTCTGATGTCATCATTTATCCTCTATTCATCTATACTGTGTTCAGGTAAGACACTTCATGTGTTGTTGCAATGATCGTTGTCATGTATGTTGAATGTGTTTCTGATTACTTTCTTAGATTCCTGGAACATGAAATTGTGTTATTGTTATTGTATATTTTCAATTACATGCGTAGGTTTCTTGTCAAGTTATTGTTCAATGTATTTTGGTTCTACTATGACGTTTTAGGACTGTTCTGAACACATCACAACAATAAGAAGTGAGGAGAGGATTCAGATTGGCTGCCCAGGCCCTACAAGAAAAGGGTTTACACACATGTATATTGGAATCTATGAACATTTGATACTTGACCAATGATTTTCTGTTTTTGCGACAAACCTTTTTAGATATTACGACACTATCATGATTTCCTCGAACCTGATATATTTGTTGTCTTCCATACACGTACCACTGTAGGGACACGTGACGATCCGGGTTAGAATAGGTCTTCAGCAACCCATGCTTGCCGTAAAAGGCGACTATGCTTGTCGTAAGAGGCGACTGACGGGATCGGGTGATCAGGCTCGCTGACTTGGTTGACACATGTCCTCGTATCCCAATTGCGTGGATCGATGCTCATGATGTCAATCACTGGATTGTCTGATCCAGACTCGATTATTTACATGCCGCCGTCATATAGTTTGAATATTGCTGAGTGCGGCGTTAAACAACAAGCCAAACCAAAAATCAATTGCGTGGATCGATGCTCATGATGTCAATCACTTGATTGTCTGGTCCAGACTCAATTATTTACAGGCCGCCGTCCTATAGATGGAATATTGCTGAGTTTGTCGTTAAACAAGAAACAAACAAACAAATCCAGTGTAGTCGTGTCCTTACTGGTTAACATGGTCGAAGTGAGAACCTTGAGAACTGAACCGCTCGACACAATTGCCTGATATATTACAATGGGAATACTCACATTTCTATTAGTCTGAAATTTATCATTTTGGGTGTAAGATTAAAACCCACATCTGGTATTCCTAAATAATGTCGATTGTACGATTCCAGCTATCGTATGAGCATGTGTTTATCAATCATATCAGATAGTGATGATGTCAGGGTGTTCACGAAAAGGTGAGTGTATCCTGCCCCGCCAGTAGCATGCCTCACGCAAGGGCAAGTCAATTGTTCACCTGAAAGAAAAAACGGGAACAAGTCAAGTTAGGGAATTGCATCCGACATATTTTTGTCACTGATGTGTCAAATTTGGAAATGTCTTTCCACATATTCACCATAAAACGTTTTGAAAGCTTTACTGAGACCTTGGATGCTGTAACATTGATGAAACAACTTCTGAGCAAGAGTCTCGTGGCGTTCTTTGACATCTTGGTAGAAAGAACCTGCTCGATTGTACTCAGACTTTGTGAAATGTAGGCACCAAGGGCTCGAGCTGTAGGAATATTGATCGACATAAAAGGAAAGCTGACTATTGGAAAGTTATCCCTCTTGTCTAATAGTCGTTTGGAGAGTGTTTTGTCAATCTGAATCTTTGGACAGGGCCCCGTTCCCCAAAGCGATCTTAGCACTAAGGTGATCGTAAGTCCCATACTTTAACATAGGTTTACGATCATCGTAGCGCTTAGATCGCTTTGTTGAACGGGGTCCTGGTCTAAATATGGAAAGGTCCACCTCATAGTTAGAACACAAACACATCACTTCCAAAGACAAGAAGGGTTGGTGAATTACAGGGTTAGTAAAGGACGGCAGTTCACTAAGCCTGCCTCTGACTAGAAAACTTGGAATATAGTTGAGGCGGAATGTAACCAAAGATAGTTCATCGGTGTTCCTTCAAAACTAGGCTCGGCAATCACAACCGAAATGGGCAACTCACTTTGTGCGGAAACGGAATGAGGAAAATATTATTATACTATAGATTGCACTTGCTCACACACTCCCCTGCTAAACCATGATGGTCTCCATCAAAGACAATAAACATCAAATTCGAACAAATATCGAAATATTGATACTGAACACTATGTTAAGAATCCTGAGATTTGTACTGGGATGGAATGTAAACTGGTCAATCGTTAACTGACTGACAAAGTCCTGAGTAATGTCACTTCAACACTGATTTCTGCTCGTTGTATGGATTAGAATGCTTGCCAGCATTTACTCTTGGAGACCGACGCAGCAGCGGCGGTTCTCGGTTTGTCTGTCTCCAAAAAAATCCTTCAGAATACCTATGATGGCATGTGAATCTCTTGTCACAGAACCTGGCCTATACCTCATTTCATCTTTTGCCGGACCCTCTTGGTGAGATTTAATCAAGTCAGTAAATTAATCCCCTCTAACATTCTTAGCCTTGGCCGCTAACTGGATGTCAAAAATAAAGTCCTCTTCAGATTAAATGATTTCACCTTCCTGTGGGACAAACACAAGTTTGGTATTAGTGGGAATACTCTGCTGCAGGATATGCAACTTCTCCTCCAGTCCCTGCATCTTCTCTCAGCTGACACCTTCCTTTTTCTCCATGGTGTTTTGTCCCTCTGTTGTGAACTACCGCCCTTACCTATCCTACCATGTGTTCCAACTATCCTGTTCGCAGCGCCAGATGTAGACAGGTCCACCTTACAGTTACAACACACATCACTTCCATTTAATGCCCGCTTATTCGTAGAATAAAGACAAAAAGGGTTGGTGAATTTCAGGGTTAGGTAAGGCAGTACGCTAAGCCCGCCTCTGACTTGGAGTATATATTTGACGAAATGTATCCAAAGTTAGGCAGCGCGTATGCTGATCGGTGTTTCTTCAAATCTGCGCCTGGCGATTACAACCGAAATGCGCAACTTATTTTGTTCGGAAACGGAATGAGGGATATATTATTATACTATAGGTTGCACATGCTCACATAAACATGAAACAGATGAAGCGGTTTCACTGGTCTCTTCAATCTTCTAGTTCAGATGGGTAGATGTGAAAGTGGAAGGAAATTGGCTTTTTGATGGTTATCGAACGATATCTGATCACCAATATACCAGAAGCTCAAGTTTAACTTCCTCTGAAGATAGATATGTATTATGTATATTTCTTTCTCAGTTACCATACTGGTCATATATGTGGCGATATTTGATATGTCATTCATACCAGGGTTTTTGATCAAACAATTACTGCAGCTTACATATGATGGTAATGTAATGTGAGACCTTGTCAGTGCAACTACACACTTTTTGATGTTGGGCAGTCATACTTTGGATGACAGCTGGCTGGGACAGAATGGGTTTGTTCCGTTTCTGTTTCCTCTTTTTCAGTTTGTGCATTCTACCAATGGCAACATCACGCACTGATTTTACCCACTCTGAAAGACATTCAACTGTCTCTTCTTCTCCTTTGGCCCAGGGGCGGTAGGGTAGCCTAGTGGTTAAAGCGTTCGCTCGTCACGCCAAAGACCTGGGTTGGATTCCCGACATGGGTACAATGTACGAAATCTATTTCTGGTGTCCCCCGCCGTGATATTGCTGTAATATTGCAAAAAGCGGCGTAAAACCATACTCACTGACTCCTTTGGCCCATTTATTGGCATATGTTTCGACAGCATCCACAATGATTTTCAAGTTGTGATACCATTTGTTTGGAGGCTGCTCACGCCATTTTGGTTCATATTTGAATAACTGACTAAGGTTGTCATAGAGTTCTCAATAATAGATAAATCACCTGTGATTACATGACCAACAGGTTGGTAGCAGTATGGTGGGTATTGGAAGACACAAGTAGTGTAATTTACATCATGAGCTGCCAAGTCGTTGTTCTGCAACACTTTCCGAAAATTGAACAACCTGGATGTCATGGTGTATGTATAGGAAAAAGGTGTTGGTTGTTCCTGAAATTTGAAATATTGTGTCACATTTTGGGAAACTGAAATTTGTCTGAGAATGTTACTTATAATTTTAAGGCATCAATTCCCTTGTTTGCAAATTTGAAATTCAAAAACTATGCTCCATAGTCAGTATTGTGGGCCACCCGTCTGCAAAAGTTGCTGTATGACACAGAATATTGTAAACCTATAGAAAGTGTGTTCTGTGTTGTGATTGGCTAATTTGGGTCACATGACCAAATGTCAAAGGGTGAAAATATGATTTGCATTCTCTGAAGCAAGCGACCGAACCACTGTGTAGGAATACATAATTACTCAGCATTTTTTGCATACTACTTAACAATGGACGCTAATTGAAATACCAAATTAACATTCATAACAAATATTTTTATTTTCTCTATTCATGGGAATTATTGGGATTTTAAATTTTTAATTAAAATTAATATCAAAAGTGAAATTAATTGTGTGAAAAAAATGTACAAAAGATATGCAAGATCTACATCATGAAACAGTAAAAAGCAGTTAACAATGATCGTGTGTACTTTCATGATCAAGGACCTTCACCTCAGAGAAATTACCAAATATGTACAACAAATATGTTGAAGTTTGACACTACCGGTGACCGAGTTTTACAAAATGGCGTGTTGACTGTCAACAGTGCGCGGGATTTTACGAGGGGACTTTCTTTGATTCAGGGTTCATATATACATAAAAGTGACATGTAAGTAATCAGAAACATTCTGACAATCTGTGTACTGTTTTTTGTTGTTGTATTTTTCATTGAAACCAACGAAAATAGTCATAAATTCTGATAATTACAGTTGTTGTTGTGCGTGATTTTGCGTCAGTCATGGCGTCACACAGGACGGGAACTTCGACAAGTTCTGTTGAAAATATCAAATTATTGCAATGTATATATGTTTAATTCCCTAATTCTTCCTACGATTCTCTTCCCGTGTATATTCTGAAAATGCAGATCTCGAGCCAATGTACTCAACGAATAGACGAATGGCTTTGTTTACATTTCCAACAAGTGCAGTTTTTTCAGTGTCCGTTTTCACACCTCATTTATTTTGCTTCATTACATCTAGACAATTTGTATTGGTGACAAAGACCATTTGGCATTTGATTCTAAAATGTATGAGGAATTCCAGGATGCAGCTGAAATATTCGTGATGGTATTTGCGTCTCAT